ACATTGTCTTAGATGTGCTTAACATCAGGAACTGTGGCTTCCTTTGCACAATAGTTGGTGGTGGGTTTTGACCAGCATAATCTTGGCAAAAGTCTTCTCCTTTGGGAAATGCATCAGCCTAGGCCATGAATGGGCCAGAAAAAGTTGATGACATTGCTTTGCCCAGAGGCTGCTGCAGCAGAGGAAGTCTAATCAAAGGCTTTAACAGGCTTTGCATCAAGTCTCCAGCAAGGCTGTCCTAAGGAGGCAGTGTCGACATACGGCTCTTTCCTGCACAATCAGCCTGACCCGGAGCAGGGGTCACAAGGTTTGTCACTCAGAGGGCTCTAATCAGTCCTTCTGGCCTCTTAGGTGGGACTCAACCCAAAAGCTCTTTGATTACAGTGGATACCAGAGACCCACGTAAGGCCTGGACAACTCCTTTTATTTATTTTAAGCATTGCTTTGAGTGTGAGGTTGGTCAAAGCAGTGCTGGTGGTGGAAGAGCAAAGAACTTAAGCCTCTCCACATGAAATGTTGCTTCATTTTCCAGCTACTTCCTACTCAAGGAAATACTGTTTGCAGATGGTGCAGTTACAAAACAGTCATAAACCACCCCATTATTATCCAGATGGATTTAGTACTGCAGAGAAATCTTTGCTATCTCATTTTGGGAATGAGGTTTGCTCTCCCCACTGACATATGGAATGATTCTGCTCAAAATCCATCCAGTGGCAAGATGTAAATAGTCAACATCTGTAACCCTGACAGATGGGTTTGCTGTTGTTTTCTTTAAATCCCGACTTGGGCTAGGCAAGGTGGACAGAAATGCCTGGTCAGATATGGAGAGACTTCATTCCTTGCAGGAAAAGCAGTTGCCGTGGCAGAGAGCAGCTTTGGTGTGAGGTATGTCACCTCTGTCCCATCACACCTCTGGGAGATGGAATTTCGGAAGGAAGGGAAGGTGAGTTGCTGCAGATCCCTGCCTGTGGCTTCTTTGCTCACCTGCTGGCACGAGTTGGTTCATCTGCTGCCTAGAGCAGCTGATGGAGGAAAATCCCAGAGGTAACTGAGGAATTTGGAAGAAATAATAGAGGATATGGATGTAATACCATGAGACAGACCAGAGCTACCTGGAAATCCTAGGAAAGAGCCCCTCCATCTCATAGTGTGGCCGTGCCTGAATGATGCCAGCACCTGGCTGTGGCTTCCCTTGAGGCCATCTCTGAAGACACTCGTTTCTGGGCTCCCATCAGCCTGCTTCAAAAGCTGGGCTGGGTCCAAAACGTGACTCTATATTGAAGCCAGCTGGGTCATGTCTCACAGGTGAGGTGAATTTCTTCCTGGCCACTGTAGTGGAGGAAACCAAAATTATCCCAGAGAACACTGACTCCAAAAGGGCAATCCACTTCTTTTCCACCCAGAGCAGGGGTCAGGCAAGCAGCAGTAACACAGGATTAGAGCTCCAGGCTGGGTCCTGTGTCTCCAGCAGGTTATTTCTAAGCCTCCCAGGTCTTCCTGCCCTGGTTATGCTCTCATACACTTCCAAACTTTCTCAGCTGGCAGCAGAGCATTTGAAACAGCATCCATGGAAATTATGGTCTTGCTTTGCTGCCCACACTTGGATGACAGCTGGCTCTGGCTGGAGCTTACCCATTGCTCTTTAAGTCTAGTGACCTGCATTTAACCATATTTCACTTATCAAAATTAGGTGAAACATAACTCTTTCCACAAACAGTCATTGGTTTTGTTAAGACCTGCTCAGCGATTTCATCTTTTCCTTTAATTCAGCTTTTCAATTAATTTTTTTTTTAGAGAATACTGCCTGGTTATTTATGTGTGCGCAGACCATATTTGTGTGGGTTTGGTGCTGATCAGCTGCGTGTGTGTTTACAATAGCCCTTGTGTTATCCCAGCCGGCAGCCTGAAAACACTTCCAAATTATTCCACATCAGAAGCGAAGAGGGTTTGGATAGACTCCTAGGGGAAAGTCTTGAAATGGTGCCCAAACCTCAGTCCCAGTGCTGTAAGTCAGGCACGTGGCTGATATTTTATCCACCCCAGCTTGGACTTTGACAGGCTGTTTTGTTTGTGGAGGAAACGGGAACTTGGGAGCAATTTTAATCAGAGATTTCTTGGAGATGGGCTTCCTCCTTTCCTTCGTTCCGTTCTGCCCTCTCTTGACACAAGTGCCTGCACTCTGCCCGTGTTCTCTAAGAAATGATGGAAAATAAGGGCACAGAAGCCCGAGGGCCGGGCTGGACTGAAACAAACCCCTGGGTGGAGGGGGCCTGACCTGGCTCGAGCCTTTGGAGAGGTGCTGGGTTTGTGTACGAAACACTTGGGTGACTGTACGTGGATGAGCACCAGGAGTTTAGGGTCACTAGGGTTTGGTGTTTGCTGCTAACCTCAAAGCAGGCTGGGAAGTTCAGACCTAAATGGTGCTGAAATAAAAACCTGGAAATAGTCCAGAAAATCCTAAACCAGTTTGGGTTTGAAGGGACCTTGAAGACCATCTCTTTCCAACCCCCTGCCAAGGGCAGGAACACCTTCCACTAGACCAGGTTGCTCAGTGTGGAAAAAAAAGGAGTATTGTCTCAAAACCAAACTCCTACAATGTGAGTTCAGTTCTAGAATTCTTTGCTTTTTAGCTGGACTAAATATGACATTGTTTTCCAAATATATTGGCATTACTGTGGCTTGGAAACTCAATAACTGAGCCATCTCTGGTCTTGGACCTTGAGTTACTCATATAATAGTACACTTTACTATTGGAGTAAAGATCACTTTTTAAAAATGTAATTTAAAACTGGCACGCACATTGATTTAGGAATGCAAAATGATTTTGTTATTATCTCATCTCAAAACCTTTTCCTTGATCATCTGCAACTCTGAATTGCAAAATGTATTACAGAAACACAGCTGTTGTGTCTTATAATGTGAGGTAAGACATTCCATGGCGGTTGTTTGTCTCAAAACAAATTTACAAATCCAGAGCAATGTAGCTGCCCCATCCCTGGAAGTGCCCAAGGCCAGGTTGGACGGGGCTTGGAGCAACCTGGGCTAGTGGAAGGTGTCCCTGCCCGTGGTAGGGGGTGGCACTGGATGGGCTTTGAGGTCCCTTCCAACCCAAACCAGTCTGGGATTCTGTGACTAAGAGATGTCTCTCAGAGAGTTTGGTAACTCCTTGAGTTGAACACCTTACAGAGGTTGTGCTCTGAGACTGAGAGAAGGACCTAAACTTCTTCTCCTTAAGGTGGTGCAGCAGTTCAGAGATCAAAAATGCATGATGGTGATCCAAATCTTTGACTCCAGGATTTGGAGCTTTCAGCTTCAGAGCTTTCCTCTGCAACTTTATAAGAGAAATTCAGGGATCTGGTAACACTGAGTGACCTTACAGAGAAGAGCAGTAATCACTCTGGAACCTGGGCCAGTCCATTCCCTCATTAGGACAAGGAAGCTTTTATCTCTCCTGCAGTAATGATGCATTTTTAAAGCGTTTCACACCTACTTTCAATCTCAGTAAAGACCATGAAACTTCTTTGGCTGTGGCCACACGGTATCTGTTGTTAAACAGACTGTTAAAATTAATCAACCCAGGTTAAGCAGCCAAAATTACCACTTGCCATCTCTGGCCCGAGTCTGCTCCCTCAGAGACAGCCCCGTAAGAGGCTGAACGCTGATTAAACGCTTCTCTGCCAAGTGCAGTCCGAAACATTTTGGCAAGAACTGCCTGTACAAAGCACAGAAAAAAATGTACAGGATGTAAAAGGCTCAGTGTGTCAGCCTGCTTGAATCCAAACCATCCCCTGCCACAAACCCCTGCACTAGCAAACATCCCATCTGCCTGATGAGAGCTTCTGTACCCTGGCCCCAAATTTCCGCGCTCCATCCCCAGGGTTGTTATGTCGTGACTTCATTATTGCTGCTGGCTCTAATTCACACTCCAATCCACAGTGCTATCAGCAAAAGACATTTTAAAAAAAAAGTAAAAATTAGTAATGGCCTTGATTTTACTCAGAGTACAGACTGGAGGCTTAAACTCTTCTTTGGAGGAAGTCCTGCTGCATCCAGGGCAGGAAGGAAGGGAAGGAAGTTCAGCCCACATGCCCTCACATGCACTTGTTGGCAGTGGAGGGCAGAAGGATGAGGAGCTTGTGAACTGTCCCACTGGGCTACTTAAACAGAAGCATCTGGACCACTTCTAGAAGATCTGTTTGACCCCTGGGCAGGCTGGATCCTTGAGTCAAAGGGTGCTGCCTTGTGCCAGCTGAGCGTGAGGAGGTTTAGATTGGATATTAGGGAAAATTTCTTCAGGGAAAGGGTGTTCAGACACTGGCACAGGCTGCCCAGGGCAGTGGTGGAGTCACTGTCCCTGGAAGTGTTGAAAAAGTGTGTGGGTGTGGCACTTGAGAACATGGTGGTGGTGCTGGGTTCATGTTGGACCTGATGATCATAAAGGTCTTTCCCAACCTTAACAATTCCATGATTCTATGCACAGCCTCTTTCCTCCTCTCCTTTCCCCTCGTCTTCCCTCTCCCCCTCTCTGAAAACACGTCAGCAAGTCTGAAGGCAACAGTCACGCTCATCCACAGTGATGGAATTTAATCTCCTGGTAATTAGGGTTGGAAAATCTCAACATTGGCAACATTTTCACTTGAACAGAAGGGCATTCCTGCCAAGACTTGGATTGTCTTGGAGTAAGAAAAGTGCAATCAGGATCACAGGATGCTGAGCTGGGAATCTGGGGGGCCAGATCCCGTGGTTGGAGAAGGTGGTTACAGTGCCACTGACTTCAGCAGAGCTCTGGTTTGTGTCAGCTGGGATCCTGAGGAGCTCTGCTGGGCGGAGACTTGCCTTTCAAAACACAGCAGATGATGTCTAAAACCTGTTTAATATCATGTACAGTTCCCCTGCGCTGGCTCTGGGTAGTCTGGCCCCTCAGCCCAAATGACGTCTGGTGTCAGCAGTTGCTTTTGACTGTTTTGTGGTTTTCTTAAAGGCAAATAACTTCCATGCAGGGCTAATGGAGGAGCTCCCATCTCAGCTGCTGGATGTGTGCCGAAGAAATGGAGTGAAACACAGAAGTGGTCACAGACTATAGACCTGCACCTATACAAGATTTGGAATTTTGCATCTGTAGTGATTTTCGTCTTTTTTTCCAAAGAATCATAGAATCAGCTGGGTTGGAAGGGACCTCTGAGATCATCAAGTCCAACCCTTGATCCAACCCCGCCGTGGTTCCCAGCCCATGGCACTGATGCCACATCCAGTCTCAAACACCTCCAGGTACGCTGACTCCACCCCTCCCTGGGCAGCCCATTCCAAGGTCTGATCACTCTCTCCATAAAAAATTTCTTCCTAATATCCAACCTAAACTTCCCCTGCAGAGCTTAAGACTGAGCCCTCCTGTCCTTTTTTTTTCCCCACAGTAAGAACTTGTCCAGAGGCTGGACTGAGAGGGCTGTGAAGCCACCAGCCCTGGCTGCTCCTGCCACCAGCTCTGCCCGGCCACAGCGCTCTCACCAGCTCACCCAGCAGAGGGGATCGAAGGGACCCAACGCCAAAACCCGGGAGAGTTCTTCACTGGGACCTGCCCTGGAGTAATTTATTTGGGTAGGTGATGATTTGTGCTGCAAACACTGCATTGGAATAGGTACCCCTGGGGCACTGTGGCTGGAGAGGTGCAGGGCTTGCTCTGCTTTAGGCTGTGTCCCCTTGTTTAGCTGAATCTGGGCAACTTGTGTGCCAGGTTTGCAATTTGGAGTTGCACCTGACCTGAGAACTTATCTGTTTGCCTGGGTTTGTCTGTCAGCTCCAGTAACCACTGGGAAGGGCGCTGCAGATGTGCAGCAACCCTCTGGCTCTCCAAGGGGAGTCTCCATCCTTTGACTGGAATTCTTTGGCTTGGAAAATGAATTTGAAAAATCCATTCGAGTGCATTGTGTGGAGTCATCCTAAATAAAATGGGGCTGGCTTGGCGTGAAGGTGAGAGATGAGTTTCACATGGGGCTTTGCCTCCTTTCCACTGCTCTGGTGTTGCTGTCCTGGCCGTGAAGCTGCTGTGGTTGTGGGGGAAAGGCTTTAAGGAAAAGTGAGGAAAAAAAAACAGGGGGGAAAAAAAGGAAAAGGATGGAAGCTGTTCTTTTATAGGTGTCACCTGGTAGAAGAGCGTGGAAAACCCTTCCCCTGACAGCCAGTATGGACCACACTTAAAGAAAAATATCTCTCTGTTCAGCAAATTTGGACAAGGGCCTGGAGTGACAGGATAAGGGGGAATGGCTTTCCACTGCCAGGGGGCAGGATTAGATGGGATATTGGCAAGAAATACTTCCCTGTGAGGGTGGTGAGGCCCTGGCACAGGTTGCCCAGAGAAGCTGTGGCTGCCCCATCCCTGGAAGTGTCCAAGGCCAGGTTGGACGGGGCTTGGAGCAACCTGGGCTAGTGGAAGGTGTCCCTGCCCATGGCAGGGTTTTGGAACAAGATGAGCTTTAAGTTCCCTTCCAACCCAGGCTGTTCAGGGATTCTAAACTCCCTGAGAGCCTATTCTAACTTTTTGTCTGATCTGTTTGATCTCAGGACATCTGAAGGCTCAGTTTTTCCCTACCATCATCTTTTGGCAGGAAAAAGCAGTGTTGGAGCCCAAGGAGACCTCTCTGTGGTGGGGCCATCCAGCAGGTCCCTGCAGCTGGAGCCAGGGCAGCACTTGGTTCTCTGCCCACTTGGCATTGCCCTCCCCAAACCCAGGGCTCATTGTTGGCTGTGCAGGGGGACTGGGGGACTCCCAGAGCCTGCATGCCAACCCAGGGGGCCTGGCCAGCAATTCCTGGCAGTCTCCAAGGCTGATTTGCATTTCTTTTGGTCCCACCAGCCCACCTTAACGAGCAGTTCTGCCTCGCCTTTGATTTCTTTCCAGGATGCCCAATTTTGGGAGGTTGTAAAGAGACAGAAAGTCTGTAAAGTTTACTAAAGAGGAAAACATTGAATAAAACCCAAACCAGTGCATTTTCTTTGGTGCTCTGGAAATGCTCCCAGTGTTCCCTGGTGTGAACAAGCGAGGGTGGGTTTGCAAACCCTGTGGCACCTGATGCCATGTTCCCTTCTAACTCCTGATTTTACTAACACAACTTCAGTCCAGGCTGAATATCCCAGCAGAGCTATTGCCTCATAAATAGAGAGGTAATTCATATGTTCCAGCTCTCTGCAGCTGAATTTAGGGAATTATTGAGCAGAGGCTCTGCTCTGCAGTCCCACGGCACGGCTGTGACCCACACTTGGGTAACTCCCCAAAGGAGGAAGAGGTAAATAGAGACAGAACAGGTGCTTGGTAACAGATATCCTGATTTTCCAGATAAATGCCAGTCCTCTCTTTGTCTTCCAAGTTCTGTCTCACTATTTTATATACTTCAGAGCTCACTTTGCTGGTTGCATGTCATTACATCTATTTTATGGTGTTGTTTTTGTCTGTTAAAAATAGGGGGGTTTAAAAGCAAATTTTCCTTTGCTCAACTTCACCTTATAAAAGAACTTGTTGCCGTTTGAAACTTTGTGTCAGGCACCAGTATTTTCTACATATGAAATGGAGAATAATTTGAATTCAAATGTGGCTTCAAAACTTAGAGTTTGGGGTTTTTCCCCCAGGGTTTGAAATACATATAATTTTAAGAGTCTCTTTTGTATGTATCAATGTCAAAATTAATTTTAACTACATTTATTTTTTTCTTTAAGTAGAAAGTTGAAATTATTGATAATGAGACTTTTGGACAACTTGACTTGAAAAGCTGATGCTTTGAAAGCTGTGAAATAATTGAGAAATGCTGTCAATTTTTTTTCAGATGCTTAGTTAAAAAATAATCATGATTCTGGAAGGAGCTTATTTATCCATGCTTCACATCATTTTTTTCCACTAGAGCATTGTATTGCCAGTGGTGATGGAAACCCATCCCAGAGCTCTTTTCCTGGACCTTGTTCCATACAGGACTTGCTTCTGGAAGTGCTGTCACATGTAAGCAAAGCCCATGGCTCTTATAACTCACTTGGCATGAGCCAGCCTTGCATTTCCTAAGCAGGCTTATCCCATACTAGTTTCAAAGCTGAAAGGCAAACAAAGAGGATTAGACCAAACTAGTTCCAGAGCACATGTTGTACATACTAATGTCTTGTTGAAACAGGAGAAGGCTGAAAAAAAGACTGCCCCTGCTTTAATGAGGATGCAGGCTTGCTTCCTGAATCCCTGCCTGCTTTGCCAATCAGATAGAGGGGATTCTGCATCACTAAAGGAGCCAAGCTAATGAGATTAGGGTTTATCACTTCAAAAAATAAAACTGTACCACTGGAAGAATAAGATTTTACAGGAATTGTGCTAAAGCCTCAGTATGGTCGCTGGGCTCTCCTTCTGAGGTTGTTTAGGGGAAAGCACTGAGCCTTGCAAGTGTTTCCACATAGATGGCTCTGCATCTCCACGCAAAAAAAGCCTTGAGGCACTTTATTTCCTGAGTTTCATCTCAGCTAAGCAGTAGCCTGAGCACAGTTGGTCAGATTTCAAATGTGCCATGTCACAGCTCTGGTTTTGACCCAGCTGCCTTCGCTGTGCCTGCTGGGTGACAGGAAAGGGACAATCCTTGGGATTGTCCCCAAATGCTGCCACCTCAGTGTGCTGCCAGACGTGGGGCAGCAGGAACAGGCCTGCTGCAAGCAGAGGAGAAAACCTCTGGAGCAGCAGAGGGAAGAAAACCTTCCCAGTGTTCATCTTTCAGAGGAAAACCTCTCCAGAAGCGCTCCTGACTGAGGAGCTGTAAGAGCAGCTGTGGCATCCCCACCTCTGTACCTCTGTCATCTCCCACCCTCCAGGCAGGGGCTACCCCACTGTGTGGCAGCAGCACTGGGACCCCGGGCTGGTTTAAGGGATAGGAAGTGCTTTTCCAGCTTTGTGTCTGTTTTCTGGTGGGTTTTAAAAGTAGTTTTACAGTGGTGGCACTTCTGTCTTTGTCCCTTGTAAAATCCCCTGCTATGCAGAGCAAACAGTGCTGCTGGAGAGAGATATCCTGGAATCATGGAATATCCTGAACTAGAAGGGCCCCACAGGGACCATCAAGTCCAACTCCTGGCCCTGCCCAGGACACCCCAACACTCCCACTCTGTCCCTGAGGGTGTTGTCCAAACCCTCCTGGAGCTCTGGCAGCCTTGGGGCCGTGACCAAACCCTGGGGAGCCTGTTCAGTGCCAACCACCCTCTGGGGGAAGAACCTGAGATTCAGCCTAAATCCCCCCTGACACAGCTCCAGGCATTCCCTCGGGTCCTGTCACTGCTCACGGAGAGCAGAGGTCAGTGCTGCCCCTTGTGAGGTAGCAGAGGAGCTGCCTCAGCAGCCCTGAAACTCCTGTCCCAGTGGGGAAAAGCACGTGTCAGCCTGAGGAGCCTCCATGGTGGCCTTCGTGTGGGAGGATTTAGCCCTCTCGGCTTGGTTTCCCTGTTGGCAGACTAAAGGTCTGGCTTATGGGGCTGGGGTTACAGCAGCAAGCTGAGCTTAACCTTTTGCACCTTTCAGCCCTTCTCTCCCTTGTTATGCTTTTCACCAGCAGGAAAAACATTTGCAAGAGGGCATCGGGCAAAAGATGGATTGTCTGAGCTCTGACTCAGGCCATGGAAACTGGGCTGGCTCTCAGGACCACCAAAGTCAGGAGTCCCACCCTCTCCCCGGGCTCTGCTGCGCTGGCTCCTCACTGGGCCTCAAGGACATGTGGGTTGCAGTGAAGTTCCTGACGTTTATGGACTTTTGACTCAGTTATTTTTGGAAAAAGTCAGCTATGCCTTGGCATCCTGCCTAATCACTGCTCCTGGAGCATGGGTAATTCACTCTCTTTGGGGAATTCAGGGGCTTCCCCCTCATTCATCCAATTTTTCCCTGCAGAGCTAACGGTGGTGCCAGTTTTCCATTAGGAAGCTAATAGTAATCCCCCCTTCTTGCTTTATCCAAACAAACACGGTGTGCCACATTCCTCCTGTCTGCTGTTCTGGTGGAGAAGTCCCAGGAAAGCCGAAGTGTGACGTGTAAAGAAGCAAGACAGGAGAGAGGGGAAAGGCTGGAGGGTCTTGTGCTTGGGGAAGAGCGTGATGGTTCTGGGGCAAATACCTGGTGGTGTCAGTCCTGCTGCTCCCTAGGGTGGCACTTTGA